GTCCAGAAGGGAAATCAGGAGCAGGATGGGAGATGGGGGCCGGTCTCTAAGTCTCAGGAGGTGTCTGGGGTCTCGGGCAGATGGGCGTGGGGGCAGGGCGTGGAGATTACAGGGGCTGCTGGTGGACTTGGTGAAGGGGATCCCTCTCGGTGGGGCTAGACGGGGACCTGCCCGGTGGCCAGAACCTGTGGCCAAGTTGGGCAGGTCTTCCCAGAGTGGCTGGTGCCCAGGGATGGCGTCCGGGTTGGGCTCAGATACTCACCTCTGGTCCAGAAGGGAAGTCGGGGGCAGGATGGAATCGTAGTTTATTTTTAATTTAACATAATGTGTCCTTTTAGGCTTTCATAAGTTGAGCTCACACAAAATGAAGGAAGTGCTGGGTGTGCACATATTGGGACTTTCACACAAAATCCCAGTACTTAGGAAGCGAATGTTGAAAGAACAGAAATTTGAAGATATGCAGGGACATACAGTGAGACCTGTCTCCTCCCCATCAAAAATAATGAAGGAAATAGTAAATGTGAATACTAAGATATTTGATATTTCTTGAGAAAAATGAAGAATTAGTTGATCAAATTAAATATAGTTTTTATAATTAAAAAGATATCTTGGAAACACAAAAAGCCATATCATTAAAAATTGGGTTAAAAACAGAAACTCTAATTTCAGAGTGCTAGAGAAATGGCTGAGCATGTAAGAGTATACCTCCCTATTTCAGCAGACTTGAATCCAACTCCTAATATCCATACAGTGTAGCTTACCACCGCCTGTGACAACAGCACTGTGACAACCACCTGTAACCTGTAAGCTCCAGAGGGTCTGGTGCATTCTTCTGCCCTCTAGAAGCATTCTTACATACATGCACACATGCATAAATATACATGACCCACATACACATAAACAAAACCATAATAGGATAAAAATTAAAAAGAGATTCTAATTTCACATTTCCTTTATAAGGCCATAATTAGTAATTATTTTCATCCAGATATCAGTTTCTAATCTTCAAAGCAGAGAAAGAGATGATCCATATCTTGTTTCAATTGTAAACTGGTTGCAAGGCACAAAACTGGCCTCAGGAAAGACTGTGTAAAATATAAGACATTCAATAAGCACAAACTTCAGACTTTCAGAGCCAACTCTGGCCCAGAAATATTTAATTTTTAAAACAGGCAGCATCAGAGTGGGTGTTTATTTACAATTTTTTGTTAGCACAATATGAGAAAATGGGCTTTCCTGTGTGACTCTCCATGAAAACTTAAGTGATTTTTAGTTTACATACTGGTGGTCCTGGAATCTGCAGGACTGTGTTGGTAACTGCACTGGCTTGCCCAAATCTGTGCATTCGCTTGGGAATCATAACTCCAATGCTAAAGAGGAAAAAAAGGAAGATATCCATGGAATCACTCAAACAGCAGAGTCACATGATCTTTGCACACAGGCTGATATCATTGCAAAATTTCTGTAGGAGCCTTCTGATTTTCATCATAATCAATATATAATTTAGTATATGTCTAAAATTTTATTTTAGCATGTATATTATCAGCTTTCATGGTGGCATTTATAAATAAGTTTATTTTTCATGTTTTCCTCCCCCCATCTTCCTGATCCTGCCCATCCTCCCATGCATGCCCTCTCACCCACAGCCTCCATTTGATGTCACACAGGTTCTCTTTCCTTCCACTTACCATGCCTTCTATAGTCCTTCCCAACCCCCAACATTGATCTTCTTAGTAGTTTCATAACCTATGTCCAAAGATACTCCCTCTTATCTATGGACTGTTCTGTACCAAATAAATACAAGTAGTCTGTCTTCCCAAGGCCACAAAAAAGTACTAAAACCATTAATGGTCTAAAATTACTGAAATCACAACATCAATCATTAAAGACTGGGTAATTGCTATAGAGTGAGTATCACTAACCATGTTGAAGTACTAAGACTATTTTTACAGCTGTAAGAAGTTGCCTCATAAATCCTAGCTTCATTTTTTACCTCACTGAATAAATTTAAGAGACACATGGACTTTGGATCTGGATCCAGAGAGTAGACTATTTAGATGAAAGGTCATTGGACCTTAAAGGAGAAATCTTCTGACCTTAGGAGAAAAGAGTGAGCCAAAATAACATCGTGGCTTTTCAATGGAGATCAAACTCAAAAGATGTGATTTTAGTTCAGTAACTATAATTGATATAGCTCCATAATACCAATGAGTCACTGTTATAAAAGAAATTTAATGAATTGCACATTAAATTTGCAATTCTGATCATTGCACAACTAAACACAGTAGAGATGTAGAGAACCAACTAAGTCTCTACATGCATGTTATAGCACATGGATACATACCCACACACATGCACACCAACAAAACAATGAATACATTTTGTTTTTAAATAGAATCTACAATAGAGGCAGACCCTCTTGAAGCACACAGGAGAAGCTAGATGCTATCCACAGGCTCTAAACACAGCTCTCCAAATGCACTCTCCTGTTGTGAGCCCTCACCATCTTTAGTAAGTCACTACCAGGTGGAGAAACCATTCTTCTCAGTTGGTTGTGCTTGTTTACAATCTCTTCTTGGACTGACTCTTTAGAGGTTATCAAATCCTCAAAATTCGTATCCTGAAAAATAAAAAATTAAAGTCATGTTAGTGTATGTTAAGGTTGCATTAAAAAGTGAATAAGTTGTCTAAGGTGAATGAAAGTCATTTTAAAGTACTCGGGCCAATGTTAGTCATTAAGCCTTGATAATAAATTTAAGACAATCTATGACTTTTCATGAAAAGTACTTTATATATAAATTTTGAGAATAAATAGAATTTATGGCATATCAAATAAAAACTCTTCTGAGGCTACAAATGTCAATTTTGATTTAAGAGAGATCTATAATAATAGCGATGAACCGTAGAGAACCTTAAGTCATTCACACTCAGTTAGGCTGTAGCAAGGAAGTGCTAAGGATGAAGAAATATAATTTACTATAGACCTTAAGAGGCAATAGCCATCTGACCAGGAGTTTGAAAGCTTGTGAGATAATGTGTAGGTCCTTAGCCAATACATGTGTGCATTGTAGAATTTTATATGAAACGGGGTTTTGTGATCACTCCGAAGAGAGCTTTATCTAATAGAACATCCAAGTCAATTTGGAGACAATGGGTTCTTGAAAATAGTTGAGCATTACTGACTTTACATTTCACTGGACAGTAATAACCCTGATAAGTTAGCTCAGATGTTGATGTTTAAATTTACCTTTTTCATTTGTGTGGCACAGGTGGATGGAGTGATATTATGTGAATTGGCAGAGATATAAGAGCCACTTGCTGATATAAACATACTCCAAAATGTGCTGTTTTATAGTGTAGAGCAAAATGTTACAGCATAACTATTGATGGACTGACTCTCACATTCATTTCTTAGTGCTGGAATCTGTTTTTTCTCCTTTCTGCAGTCTTACTTCCCTCAAGATTTTGCAGATATTGCACCCACAGATCTAAACACATTGCATTGTCAGGGGCTGCGACATGTCCATTTTTCCCTAATGATTTATGTTCTGAAAGCACTAATGACAGCCTTGTGTGAAACGATCTCTCACAGCTAGTGATTTCTATGGCAGAAAGGATGTACATGTTAAAGTCATTGCTTGAAAATCCTCACATTTTATTTTAATATAAAGTAACAATATCCCCAGATGTTTATTTATTAAGGGAATGGCATCATTTTCTAAAACATTTATACTTAAGTGTATATGTTTGAGTAGAATATGGATTTGTGTAATGAGTGCAGCGCCAGTGGAAGCCTTAAGAGAGTATCAGATTCCCTGGAGTGTGAGTTTCAAGTTGATGTAAGCCACCTGAAGTGGACGCTAGAAACCAAAGGGTCCTCTTCAAGTTCAGTAAATGCTCTTATTGACGAAGCCATCTCTCCAACCCCCAACCCCCAGACTTTTCATTTAAACCTGAAAAATCTACCTAAAGAGGTTTTGTTTCCAAAGACAATATATATGGCTTCTGAGAAAGCCATTATTATTATATGCTTGTTATGCTACCTTCCCTGGTAGCTAAAAATTCCATGAAACAATACACGTGCTTACATTTTCTTAACAGAAAGTTGTACAGATTTAAAGAACACATACCAGAAACACGGAAATGTGAGTTTATAATGTTAAAAGGTTTGTTTTGGATAGAAATGTGACCTAATAATTACAACACCACAAAGTAAAACCAAGAGAAAAAACAATAAGTGACTCAGAGAGATGAATCAGTTCTCCATGGTAACTCTCAAAGAAGCCCTCATTCATAAAACATGGCTTGAATCTCTCTGCTATTAAATCTTGAAAATTTATAAAGAAGTATCAATGGACCAAAGAGAGACGGGAGGGGGAAGGGATGAAGGGAAAGAGAATAGATGGTTCAAAAGTTCTGTAAAATACAATCAATTTAAGAAGGAAACTGGGAATGCAAACAAATTGAAAGAACACCTAGACAATAATCTCCAGTTACTAATTTGATTATGGTAACAAAAGACATATAATGTATATTCCAAAACAGGTTTAACCAGTTATTGGCACTCGGTACTCTTGAGCAATTATAGTAGTCTTCAATGTAGGCGCCAAGAGAAGAGAATGAAGGCTACAGCAACCCCCAGTGCTTCTAATTTTTAGTAGCTTTCTAACTAAGAGGAGAGTTATTTTTCTGGTACTACACATTCCATCATTAAAAAGGTGACTGAGCCTCATCTGGAATTGTCTAAGCATAAGAACATATTATAAATAACAAATATTTGGCTCATGTACATACTTATTGTTTGCATAGCAGATATACTTAACCACTCTGGGATGTGTGTGTGTGTGTGCGTGCGTGCGTGCGTGCGTGCGTGCGTGCGTGCGTGTGTGTGTGTGTGTGTGTGTGTGTGTGTGTTGCTAAGGATCTAAGTGACTTACTCCACACTCTGGCCTTCCAGAATTTGAATAGTGATCCTATAGCTTCCTAGCCTTCATGGTTGCCTAGATTTTTCTGATAAGATACTAAACTTGACCCATACCTTACAGTGTTCTTGAAGAATGGATGGGGCCAATACAGCAGCCAGGACCAACAACAATGGGAATAATGTCATGTCTAGAAAACAAAGAAGAGAAAAAAGATCTGCATTAAATGTTTAGTACAAGGAGTTCTGAGTAACACAGAAGGCAGGGGGAAGTAATGAGACTAATTTCCTGGATTTACTAGCAATATAACAAGGAGAACCTGAGGCAGACATTAGATGTTCCCAATTGCTCCCTACCTTATAAGTTGAGACAGAATTTGTGAGGGAGCCCCAAACTCGCCATTTCAGTTAGTCTGGCTACACAGCTTGCTCTGGGTATTGTTTGTCTCTACCTTCTGCCTGCATTGAAGTTATTAGCATGCAGCCACATCCACCTGGCTTTTACATTGCTTCTGGTGACTTAATCTCTGGTGCCCATGCTTGCATAACAAGTGCATTCTCTACTGAGTCATACTGCCAGCATCTACAGCGGGCTTTTAATAATTTCTCCTAACCAGATAGAAGTTTTTCTTACTCTACAATTAATAAAGACATATATATAGATGGATATAATGCATAAATAGGTATAGTTCATAAAACTTTCCAAGGTACCCTTTGACCCAATGTAGACACACAAAATAGCATAGACTATGTTTGGTGTCACTTGTTATGTGACTCTCTTTGGGCTTGGTTTAAAACTCATAAAAACCTAGCAGTTAAAACTGTGACTCAATATCCCACTTTACACATGAATAATATCAGTGTTAGAGATTTCATACTGACGCGTCATAAAAATTTTGGGAGCAAAATGAAATCTCAGTACCGGCTGTGTGGCATCATAGCCTTCAGTTCTGAGAGCCAGAGGCTCTGGTGATTTAGAATATTATGTAAACAAGGAAATATGTCAATCAAACCCCAGCAGAGGTGCCTGGGGTGAGTGCATTACTGGAAGAATCACATGATAGCTAGTCACATTCTCCTGAGTATCTACTGTAATATTTTCTAAATTCCAATGTCATATTAAATCATCACTCAGTTTGCTTTGTCACGTTTCTCTGAGCTAGGAAGCAGTCAGCACAGAACATAAATTCTATAGAACAG